ATCTGAAACGAAGCATGGGCTAGCACAGGGCTGGCACCCTCTGCTTCCCCCGAGGATGCAGCAGCCTGTGTTCAAGCTGTGGCACAGAAGAAGCTGTGCCAGGCTGAGGAGGAAGAGGGTAAAGTACACATATGGTTTGATGGTACAGCTAATCCAACCTAGTGACCAGCTATCGCCAAGGGGGCGGCCGTGCTTTACAGCCCTGACTAGTCTCTCTCCCCCTCCCATCCCTGTGCTGCTACTGGTACATGTCTGACCCTGCAGTGGCCTGAATCAGGGAGCTGAGTGGCAGGAAAGTTTCACTGCATTTTGCAGGGCTAATTTTCTGCTGATTTTGCTTCCTGAACTGTCTCCTGAGACATCAGACAGGTGTTGGTGCTAGCACAAGAGAGTGTGATGGGAACACATAGCAAGTGGGGGGGAGTAGAAATGTGCTTTTATGCAGCAGCTGGCTGTTAGATTGTATTATCTCTACTCTCTGACTGCATCCTGAGTCTTCATAACAGCAAATGCCACAAATCCCTTCATGGGAATATAGGTGTGATAGATACTGCGGTAGGAGATAATAAAACCTGTTTTCTGGTTTTGGTTTTCTTAGGAAAACCAGTTGGAAACATGTTCACGTGTATTTAATATAGCAACTGCTAGACTAGAGGATAAATATAAAGACAAATCAGTTTATGAACCTTAGCACTGACAAATAGCTGTGAAAGCCTGTAGTCTCTCATGTTCTCAATTTCCCATCTCACATGGTGAAGACTGTTAATGCTTAGATAGCATTCAGGCTGGCAAGGCATGCTGGAGGGGCTAGCTAGGTAGCTAGCAACAATCTGTGTAGAAGTAGAGAGAGATTTCTTCACAAGAGCTTTAGCACTTAATAGGAAAGCACTTTGTTTTAGAAGGGCCAAATGTGCTACATTTGACTTCTGATGAACTATTCACAAAAATAATCTTTTCAGTGGCTTTTGGTCTTTGCGAGGGATAGAAAGAAAATTTGCTGGAAATTCATTGTTTATGCTTAGATGCTTCCTCCTTTTCCAGCCACTTCCCCATACTGGAATACCTTCATGATTTTGCAAGAAACTATTTCCATTCCAATCAATAAATATCTCCGTAGGAATCTAATTTAATTTTTATGAAATATGCTGGATCATTTGAACCTACGATCCAGATTTTGTTGGAACAAGAACTTGGAATGGCATATAAGAAACTTTTAAAAATCCTTCCTTTCACATCACAGTATGATTGTAGACTCATCATTTCACCAGGTTTATCTCTGTCAGTGACATTTATAAAGAACAGTTTCACAGTGGGTAGCCAGCAGTGTCTTTTCATACCTGAAGCATCACAAGAAAATAGCAAAGAGATCTGATGCCAGATTGTATATTTTTATGCTACAGGATTCGTTTGATAATTTGTAGAAGCTTCTGTCTATAATTACAGCACACATGAGACAGAAAGAAAATATGAAAACCTATCGGGGGCTGCTATGAAGAAATACACAAATCATTTGTAAATTCCCTCTTCTTTCTCAAACCACAGAGAAACTGCTCTCTTATGTGTCAAGAATGAAGGGGAGATTATGTTTCACTGATGTCAAAAGGTGACCATTCCTAGACAGCATCCAGTTAACAACAACCCAAGGGTCTGTGCCATCTCATCTCTTGTACCACCATTTGTGTATAATTTCTCTCATCGTTACTGTTCTTGATGGAGTCTCAGCTTGGTAAGTTCTGCACTTCTGGTAAGGTATTATCGCTGCTCTGAGGAGCCTACATTCTGTGAGGAAAAAAAGAGAATCTGCCTTTCTTTTTTGGTTGTTGTTGGGTAATCTCTTAATCCAGTAATTTTTTTGATCAAAATCTTGCAGGTGGTACATGCCAAATGGTCTTTTTGCAGAGATTAAATGAGGAATTTTTTGTCAAGTAACTGTATCGGGAAGGATTTTGCATGTGTGGGGGAATGTGCAAGAAAAGGCATGACAACAGTTGTGTGCTGATTCCTGTTATTCACTGGTGGATCAAGTATAGCAGATTTGGAGTGTATTTGATTTTATCAGTCGTTAAAAACTAAAGAGCTTTGTTAGCTAATGTTTCAATTAAAGATCAAAATATCTACAGACTACCTCTCATATATGCTTGTCGTGGTTTAATCCCAGCTGGCAACTACACGCCACACAGCCGCTTGGTCACTCCCCACCGGTGAGATGGGAGAGAGAATCAGAAGAGTAAAAGTGAGAAAACTCGTGGGTTGAGATAAATACAGTTTAAAACTAAAGCAAAGCTGCGCACGCAAGCAAAGCAAAACAAGGAATTCATTCACTGCTTCCCATGGGCAGGCAGGTGTTCAGCCATCTCCAGGAAAGCAGGGCTCCATCACGCATAACGTTCCTTGGAAAGACAAACGCCATCACTCCAAACATCCCCCCCTTCCTTCTTCCCCCAGCTTTATAAGCATGACATCATAGGGCGTGGCATATCCCTTTGGTCAGTGGGGGTTAGCTGTCCCAGCCGTGTCCCCTCCCAACTTCTTGTGCACCTTCAGCCTCCTCGCTGGTGGGGTGGGGTGAGAAGCAGAAAAGGCCTTGACTCTGTGTGAGCACTGCTCAGCAGTAACTAAAACAGTGTTATCAACAGTTTCCAGCACAAATCCAAAACATAGCCCCATGCTAGCTACCATGAAGAAAATTAACTCTATCCCAGACAAAACCAGCACAATGCTGTATGCCATTATGTTCTCTAATATATGCCATTTCTCAGCAGTCTTTGAGTCCACTTAATGAACTATGCTGTCACCCCGTGTAACTGTCGATACTGTAAAGTCCTAATCCAACAAACACATGTATGGTTAGCTTCATTCCTGTGCAGGGACTTGTAAAGGAAAGCCAGCCATCTACCTAAGATTTTGTGGGGCCAAGGTTCATTATGTTTCTCTGAAAATGCAGGATCCATCTTGGCACTTTATATGACCATACTGCAAATGCAATACAATGAGAATATCAATATTTAAAATATAAAAGAAAGTCAGAAATGAAAGATGGCAAATCTTTTTCATCATGGTACTATCAAAATAAGAGAAACTACCTAGAGTCACCCACACGTTGATGCTATGTGGGTGCCTTAAGGGATGCTGATATCAAGAAAGAGCCAAGCATATAAAAAATATCAAAATATATCAATATGTCAAAAAGTATCACATTTGCACAAACTGACACCCTGGCTAGGACTCTCAGTATACAGTAAAAGGATGTGACCTGGACTGCAGACAGAACTGCTGTTGCTCTCCTGCACCTTCAACTTTTCCAGAAGTTTAGTCTAGAGATATAACGTGTTTATTATGTACTGCTGGGATGCTTGCATGAGTGCTTATGCTGGCTTATGTATTGCAAAATTAATCGCACAGAGTTAATAGCACACTTTAACTGCTTCAGCATTACTTGAATTAGATTTCACCCTAGTAAGCTGATGGTCTTGTGACGTAATAGAGCGCTCGCCGTTTCCACATGGATGCTGTGTGCACAGTGGAGGGGTAGTTCAGTCTTGATGTACGATAAAAAGAAGGAGTTTTCTTGCTGGATGAGAGGAAATGGCCTCAAGTTGCGCCAAGGGAGGTTTAGATTGGATATTAGGAAAAATTTCTTTACTGAAAGAGTGGTCAAACATTGGAACAGGCTGCCCAGGGAAGTGGTTGAGTCACCATCCCTGGAGGTATTTATACATATACATATACATTTATACATACACCGTATAAAAGACGTGTAGATGCAGCGCTTAGGGACATGGTTTAGTGGGCATGGTGGTGCTAGGTTGACGGTTGGACTTGATGATCTTTGAGGTCTTTTCCAATCTTAATGATTCTATGATACTATGGAAGTGGAGGGCCTATGTTCTTAATCCAGCCCCCTTCAGCTATCATGGAAAAATGCTGGAAGGAAAAAAAGTCAAACAAAAAACCTGATATTCTTTATTTTTATTATAATTTTAACCACTTGAGTAAATTGAAATCTGTAAGCAAAGCAATTACATGAGGCAGGTCTAATAAAGTTGTTCAAGCTACAACCTACTTTGATTGTTGAATCAAACTGAATAAAGCAGGCTGCTTTGATGGGTTTTTAGCTTCCATGAACATAATTGGCAGTGACATATCTTCTTTTGCTTTAATGGCAATGGTCTTCTGTGGGCTGGGAGTTTTGTAATCAGCTGGAAGTAAAAAAAAACCAAATAAAATTGGTCACTACTACAAATAGGAAAATTGCTGAACCAAATACTATCCTCAGT